ATACAAATAATATGCAGGTGCGAAGCGATTTGGGAATTAAAACTGTCACTCTAACAATATAAGATTTGTGATTGATTCCATCATTTCATGATCAAGCAATCATCCGGCTCGGAGGACCAGTGTTTATGTAAAAAAAAGATTGTAATTTAAGGGCGTCGCGGCAGAGGAGCCGCTACGTCCTTAAATTACAATAATCGAAAGGTTTGTAGTTAAGGTATAATAAGCGAGAAATGTAAATGCAAAAACAAAGCGTTCAACTAAATCTATTGTACAGTCTACACAGAACACAGTGACCGAGGCTATCGGCCGATATGAGGAATAAACGAGAGATAAAAAAGATGTATCATTCAACGTGGTCAAGTAGACATAAAAATGGAAAAACACTGAACATTTTCTCAGTAGGTTATGGCAGTTTTAATTATAAAAAATCATTTGTTTCGGGGTTCGGAGGGCACGCTAAGCAAAGGGCAAATTCTCGATCGCTATGCCAAATTGGATGAGCAGTTTAAGAAAGAAATCTAATCCACTTAAGTTTAACTATCAATTTTGGTAGGTATATCTGTAAAATATAGCACAACATTTTATCACATTGCATATACCTAAATAACTACTGAATGATATTATTCACCAATCTAATCATTAGCTCGAAATCACCAAAAATCCGCATCAAAATAAGTTAATACACTGTTCCCGCAAAACGACGAACGTGATTAAAAGGTTAACTAATTAAACTTCAAAACACGCGCTTTTGCCGAAATATCCCGGAACTTTGCAGTCGCTGGTATTGAAGGGTTAGGGGCCCAAACTTTGGATCTGTCTGCCGAAGCAAAACCGGGCTGTTAAATCCTTACTAATATTATAAATGCGAAAGTAACCTGTCTATCACGCTTTCACGCCTAAACCACTGAACCGATTTTGATGAAATTTTGGCATAGATAGTTTGAGTCCCGGTAAAGGACATAGGATAGTTTTTATCCCGGTTTTGTGACAGTGACGATGACAGATAAAATTTCACGCGGGCGAAGCTGCGGGCGGAAAGCTACTGTATAGTAAGTATCTATTATAAGTTAAAATTTTAGTGTTTTTAGACTAATTTATTTTTTTCTCATTATTTATTAGATTCTCATGACACTTTTTGTTTTTTTTAACACTATTATACTTCTTCTAGGCCCCAATCTAGTATGTGGTACTACTATGTTCCACAGGATACCTAATAGTACTAGCTATGCCAAAAATCATCAAAATTGTTCATTCATATTTTAATAGTTTACTGGTTTAATGTTTAAACCTGTCTCGCTTTGAAAATAATTTTACCAATAAAAAGTAGCAGACTATCAAAGGCTGCTTATATTTACCTGGAACCTACACGTTCCCTGGGAATCCTTGAGTTTTCTTTATCGCTCTACACTTATGCGAGTAGAGACGCACAATCAAAAACGAAATGTTAAATATTACAGTATAGTAGACGCTGGATGGCGTGGCGTCTAGAATCTGAATCAATATTTTTAATATTTACTCTAAAACCTGTTAATTTCTCAGATAAAAATGAAGGCCTTTTTTATCCAATCAGAGCAAAAAGAGCTCAAAGATTTCTCGTAATTGTGGCGAATTTAAACCAGATTATTTCTTTGAAGAATTTACTAGTTCCAAATAACTCGAATCCGTTGTTCCTGGTACGAATTATGTGGGGTTACCAGGAATTCCGAAAAGCTCAACACTTCTACATTTGCGTTAACCGGTCATGTCAATCATGCATAACGTTACCCGGCGCCTGCCATCCCAGTATCTGTATACAGAACCCTAAACGAACAATGGCTCGTGGCCACACATGCCACCGATCCTCCGATAGCAGCCGATCGATGCGTGTACCGCGATCGAGCCACCTCCTGTCACATTATGTTGCCCCGATGATTCGTATCGACTTTATCGATCAATTTCTCGACTAGTCGCTTGACTTGTCGGCGGTATACTTGATGGAAGATAACTTTATGCATTTTTTGTTGTAAAAATCTATCCTTTATTGTCAAGAAAATTTATAATTTATGAGTTGGGCCCTTCTCTAGCTTTAGTCCCATTCCCATCTCGAAGGCAATGATCGCAAAAATCGATGATAATAAAATCACAAGAAGCGTTGAATATTGACATGAACGTTTCGACAGTTTTCAAACGTTCAAGAATGGAATCGTGATCTCAAACAGTTGACAGTCGCCAAAACAAACTGCGACCGGTCCGCGCGGTATGTTGACGGAACGGAGCGTAACGCGCTAAGTGGCGCGGCCCGGGCGATCTTATCGGATTCTCGGTCCGCGCTCGCTTCACACCCACTACTGGAAGTTAGAACGTAGGTTTTATTTATGCTTTATTCATATTAATGTTGTTTTGTTAATGATGGGCTCGCTTTTAATGAACTCGGCCAGGTTGTGTAGATGTGATCTATGACACAAATCTCTATAGAGGTTGCAGATTCACTTGCGCTAAACCTTTTTGGGTTTCATTGAGGAACCAGACGACGAAACAGAGTCACTCTTTTCAAGTAACGAAGCAAAACATAATAATAATAATGTGCAATTAATGCTTATTCGTACAAATAAGTAAAATATGAGTAAAATGTTCATGAAGCCCGTTGCCTCAGTGAAATCATTGAGCATTTGGAAATTTATGAAATGGAAAAATAATATTATGTGACTACTGATGATACAGTCCTCTGTTGGATGTTGCCGGCATCTATGTCATCATAAAACCTAATTATTATACTGATTTTTGCAGACCATCATTCTTCGTTGCGTCACACAACACCAGGCGCGCAGAAACAAAAGGATAGTGATCACAAATTGCCAAACCTGACTCCAATTAAACAACAAATAGAACAATACCTATCCACCCCTGCTCGCCTAGTGGCCGTGTACCGCGCGACATCGTCATCGCTCATTTACGAGTATTATTACTGGTGCTTCATGTTTATTAAGACGTCCCAGTGCGCAGTCGGTCGCTCACCTGATACAGGCCGGCTTTATTAATATTTCCAGCTGAAGTTTATGGAAATAGGCTATATAGAAAAACAAAGCCTTTGTTTTTACTGCAGCGCGCTTTAGCAATTAACGGAAAACCCTTTTATAGCATCGGTTAAAATATAAATTGTACATGTACAACATTTCCTAATCAAAGAATCATTAATTGATATACTAATATGATACAATGCAATTTTTTACAATATGAAAAAAAAAAACTCATTTGTGCGAAATTGTGCCAGCATTTAAAAATCGATAGTCTTCATCCATCAAGAACAGAAACTAAAACTTATCTTTGAGTCCCAAACAAATTGCAAATCAAAAGCCAATTTAAATTAGTAAACAATCAGCTCACTCGAATAGAACTCGCACTGTCTACAAGTATCGAATACATTTAAATTAATCGATCGACTCGCACCGCGCACAAATAACTTTCACACTCGCGCGCACGGTCCGCGTCGGATTAAAATGTATCTCCTTGTATTTTCAGAACTCCTAGTACCGATTGGCCGACGATGACTTAACACTGAGTGACGACAACCATTTTGCTTCAGCGGTTGTTGTAACCAGTGGTTATTTTTTTCAATAGATGTGTCACAGTTGTGTTCTTGGTTGTTTTTTTTAAAAAATATTAATATCATCTCAGTGCCCGCCGTTGTCCGAAGTGGTAGGGCAAACTATATTTGGGACGTGTATTCCTTGAAAGGTCATACCTACAGAGGTACTTAAAAATTTGAACTTTGATACTAATAGATAGTGCCACAGTGCACTTTACTTCATCCCTCTTACTCCTTTCACAGAGCTAAGCCATATTATCAGAGTTACAGCTACCTAAATAGGATTATAGGATTGTTTGCCAAAGGATATTTCGTAAACAATACCAATAGACAGCCTTCCGCCAGGTGTTACATAAAATTATTCGGCAAAGCCGCAGCCTGCTCGTTACTGGAAACTAAACTAGCTTTTGGCCTACTTATTGTTTTAGTCCGAGCCGACAGGCCGACCTGTTGGGTAACCGTATTTTGAGCTTCTAAAGATCAGATTAGGCGCAATATGTTTACTAAAATCAAATTCTGTCTATGACAATGTCTTTCATACATTGGGCAGGCAATTTAAACGACCAGGCACACACGAGCATCAAAACGTTGCCTCTAACCACGAGAATAGAATTGCATCGGCCATGCATGATGACTCAAAGGCGCTCCGACTGTGATTGGCAGTTTCCAAAGGCGCGTCAGCTCGACCAATGAGCGCGCGGTCCACAATGAACTAATCTCCACCCGCGTCATGTCAGCCTGGTACTGTGGTGGCACACATCACCTGTTCTTTGATCTCTGCTGTCTAGACGATGTTATTGTTTGTGGGGTGCTTTTCAAATCGGGATACGGAATATTAATTACTTCGGAGAGGTTCGGTGATAATAAATTCATGAGCGAAGCGAGCGACTCGCTTTTGTGTGGTTGACTCCGGTTTTGAGCTGGGAAGTTACAAATCGATATCGGTGTCGTATTATTGTTATCATCATCTGAAGTCATTGGTTGATAATGTTGGCGTGAACCAACCAAAGGTTTTGTCGCCACACTTGGCGGAAAATGATTGTATGTAGCTTAGCTACCCATTATATCGAGCAAAGTCAGTGAGTGTATCTCGCCAGTGCCACTGACTGACGATCGCAGAGTCCGCAAATCAGCGCGCAGTTGTTTTGTTTACAATGATACCTCTAGCATCGTTATGCTTGCCTGGTATTTCGGTACCGGAAATCACCTGTTTCTTCGCTGTGATTCATCTCGTTCATTCATCGGACCGTCTCAAAAACAAATAAGAATTCTTCCGCTGCAGTCGCGACTTTGGCGTTGGCGGTGCATGTTGCTTCAATAATTTATTTAAGGATAACCGGCAAATTATCGATTATTACTAACAGTAGGGTCGTACCATGATTGCGTTAGAAGAGAACAAATATTTTAAAGTTAAACTCTAGTAATGTATCCTTACCTTTAACGGTGGAGTCGGGATATACAGCGGCGGATCATTCTGCGAGCCGGTGTAGACGTCCTGATTTGCATAATCAGCATCCAACACGCTGTAGCGGCATACAATACCATCGGCAGGCTTCGCATCGTACCCCGGAGGCTTCCCCGCGTGAAAACCCTTCGCCTTCACCCAAAACCTAAACTTGGAACTGTCCGAACTGTTGCATTCCTCCCCCCGAAGCGTGCGCAGAATTCGCGCGTACTTCTTCAACGTGATCGTTTTAGTTTTCGCCAAATCCCCGTAAGTCTGAATCACCCACGGCTGGTACGTCGAGAACAAATCCAATTTAGGATCGCCCGTCTGAACCTTCGCTCTCTTATTATTATTCTGCTCGTTCTTCTTGTCACTTTTGGAACTGCCCGCGGCGGATTTGCGCTTCGACGGCTTGCGCGGCGTTTTTTCAGGAATCGCCTCTTGGGTCAGCTTCTTACGCAGTCCTCTGTCCGATATCATAGCCGCTGCCATGTTTGGAATCAAAAATCACTTCACTCCTCAATCACGCCCCATATCACCAACTGTACACGAAAAAGCCCGGTACTCTTTTGTTTCTGTGCGATTGTTTTGGAAAAGTTGCCGAAAGTTCCGGCCCGTGCGTACAACTTCTCGGAACTTTCGGCTGCGAAGTTCGCATCGACCTGAGTTTCTATAAAGGAAACTTTTCCGCGTGGCGGGAGGCGGTGCCTGTATGAAAGGCTGTCGGCCGCCCTTTAGCTTCCGATTGTATGACATTTCTCTTATTATAGCCGATTCGCTTCATGTGGGATATTTTACTTGTATGCTTTTATGATTATCGTACGAATGATGTATAGTATTAATTATTTTTTAGTTATAATTAATTAATGAAATTACTAACAAAACCGAAAGTACGTTATTGAATTAAACATCTAATTAGGAAAACATATAAAAAATGTTTAGCACAACCAACAGGTGGCGGCAGTAAAAAAATGCGGGTCAAAACAAAAAAGTACCAGGCATGGAGAGGTCGCGAGCGGTCGTTTCGCTAGTTTGCGGCGACGAGCGACGAGGGTCCCCCGTGAGACAGCCGCTCGCGTGGAGCGCGCGCGGTGCACTGGCCCGTTCGCCGCGGGACGGCTGACGACTCGCGCGGGCCGCCTAATTGCCCGCGAACGCCGATACCGCGCGGCCTGTAGATAACGCTATGGGACGGCAAATGGCTACGGATTAGCGGGCGCTTACAGTGACAGTGACCGTGGTTTGGGATTGTGGTCTGCAAGTTTGTGGTCTTTGCCGAAAACAGTGACTGTCTTTGATTAAAGATGGACCGATTGAACAAAGTCCTGTGGTCCTGGACGAGATCCCGAGATGCGGCGGATGCAGGCCGGGTTTTTGTTAAGCTACTTTAATTATGTACCTATCTACAACCACCCTCCCAACCTTTATGAAATTGATTATCTGGAAAATCATTACCTGTATTTTCCACTATTATAATTTTGATCCTTTACGATCATGTAAATAGGCTTATCCAATACGTTTTTTTCCACAAAAACGCATACCTGCACCCTGCACCTACCACATGACTTGTTAATTGCCCACCATACGAAGTCTCGCCGTGTAGCACGAGCGCGCATCACGTTGACAAAGCTGCGCATGCGATGGAATTGCCAGATAGCAGCCATATTTCTACAAAATTCCTTAAAACTTCCCTCATAAAGTTTAATTTTGCATACAGAAAATAAACGGTTCTTCCTACGTTTCAAAAACGTGCTAACATGCGCGCGCATCGGGCACGAAAATCGCTGCGCACGCGCCGAAGTCCTTGCGCGAATTGTGCGCGTTGTACCAGGCGCGCATGATGTGTGAAGAGATCGATGTGGATCGATCGAGGAGGCGGAGCTTGCGACGATGTCTGTGTACACAAAACGATTGTTGTGATTCAGTATACAAGGTATTATGAACCTTATAGCTGAAAAGATAAGACGCAATTTGGTGTGTATCGATTTTGTTAACAGGTATCAGGCGGCGCGCCGAGACGTGACGTAAGTTGCGCGTGAGTGTGGAGTGGTCGAGTTAAACATAGAATTTTAAACTTTAAACAGTTTGTCGCAAGGTGGATATTTGAAGTGTGAGGTACCCGAATTTCGTGAGTGAGGTCATGATCATTATAAAAATTCCTCGGCTGTCCTGCTGCCCTAGGAACTTGATGAACACATTAGCCATGATTTTGGATCAACAGTGCGATTGTGTAAAGCAATCGTATTCATTTGACAGTTCAAAACGTATACGGTATTGTTGATTTTTTTGTTGTTTGAATCTGTGGAAGAATTTTAAAGTTTGGTTGCTCTTTAACGAAAGTGCGCTCTCAAAAGAAATGAATTTAAACAATTAATTACAAGTGAATTTTATTATTTTTGATGACGAGATTTTATTTTATTTAGATTCCATATTTTTTTTATAATAATTGCCTTTTAAAAATAACGTAGGAATAAAATTCTAAATTGCCCATGTTGAGGATAAAATAAAACTTAAAATCATGAAACTATCGTAGAGTAATCGATTCGTTTCTCGAATTGATGCCGTCTCGATACATCGAACTAATCGAACTGGTACCCGGCTATCATGAGAGGTAGAAGATACAATCTTCAGCCCAAGATCATCATCATTCCAAGTATTCCAACCAGTTGTTGGTGACTGCTTGCAGCAATTTGAACACATTGTTTTATTTACGACAAACTTAACCGTAATTGATCTATTGATATTAAATCTGAGGGCCTTGTGTGAGTTTACGTCAAAATATCGATAAATCGTTAACATAAAAAATAATCCTGAATTTACAGAGGTAAGATGATAGTTAAATGAATTTTGGTAATTTAGATTTTAATCTATACTTATAATAAATCTGTAGAGAGGTCAATTCTGTACATGAAATATATTTTCAAAATAACTATCAGTACCTCTAGTAGGAAAAACTTTCGAGTTCGTTTCGTTGCGTATTCAAAGTGTCATCGAAAAATTTTGTATGAAAAATTAAACAGCGCCCCCTATATTATAGCCACCCTAGGGGGCGCTGTTTAATTTTTCATACAAAATTTTTCGATGACACTTTGAATACGCAACGAAACGAACTCGAAAGTTTTTCCTACTAGAGGTACAGGGGGTGAATAGTGATCGATACTGATGCCAAAAATGCAATCAGTAAAATTTTTGTCTGTCTGTCTGTCTGTCCGTCTGTTCACTCTGTCTGTCTGTCTGTCTGTCTGTATTGTACCTTATAGAAACAAAAACTACTTGACGGATTTTAACGAAACTTGGTACAATTATTCTTCATACTCCTGGGCAGGTTATAGTATACTTAGGAATTCTCACGGGAACGGGAATTAGCGGGAAAATCCTTTTGTATGAAAAATCTAAACCGCTTAAGTTAGACGCTTGAAATTTGGCATGCAGGTACCTTAGTAAACGTAAAGCTTAGTTGCAACAGGATATTGCAAAATTCCCACGGGAACGGGAGTTAGCGGGAAAAAACATTTTTATGAAAAAATCTAAACCGCGTAAGATAAGAGAAGAGATGAAGGGGGTAAAACGGGATCCACGCGTACGAAGTCGCGGGCGGCCGCTAGTTAAATAACTAAAATAACTTGAACCACAATAATAGTGTTTATTTCGTTTACAATAAAGCCTAGGCAAAACCGGTGAATATCTGAAAAACTAGCAGAGCAAAGCAAATCAACACGCTGTTTCGATTGACCCCGTTGCACATACGGTTATTTTGCCTGATCGCACCAGGCGCGCATAGGCCAGCAGAGGTCGCTCGCGAACATGACTTCATCATGTTGCGCGATAATGGCCGTCAAACACAGAACGCTATTCAATAATAAGGTCGACTTTAGCACAAATTTTAGTTTCCTCTACGCAAACGAGGCGTGGGCAAAGATGTCGAGTGCGAGATACGAGGTTTTCGAATATCACACCGCGAGCTGACCCAGGCTGCATAAACAGGAGTATGTCGTTCCGAATCTAAACAGCTTTGTGATTTCAGTAATTTTAGCGGGCGAAGCGCAGCGGAGAGACATTTTCATTTTTGTGGTTAAAATAACTAAGCTACATTTCAATTTAACTAAAACTGCAGCAGTTTTAGTTATTAGATTGAATTGAAATGTAGCTTATTTTCATCATAACTAAGTTTATTTACTGTATGTAATTTTTAGGGTTCCGTAGCCAAAATGGCAAAAACGGAACCCTTATAGTTTCGTCATGTCCGTCTGTCCGTCTGTCCGTCTGTCCGTCTGTCCGTCTGTCCGTCTGTCCGTCTGTCCGTCTGTCACAGCCGATTTACTCGGAAACTATAAGTACTACAGTGATGAAATTTGATGGGAATATGTGTTGTATGAACCGCTACAAAATTATGACACTAAATAGTAAAAAAANTATTTTAAGGAACCAACACAAGTATTCAAATCCTACTAATATTTTAAACGCGAAAGTTTGTGTGGATGTTTGTTACTCTTTCACGCAAAAACTACCGAACGGATTTTGATGAAACTTTACAGTATTATTGTTTATAACCCGGCCCGGAATAACATAATATAGGCTATAATTTATGACGATCTGTAACAAACTAAATTTTAGGCGGGTGAAGCCGCGGGCAAAAGCTAGTAGGTACGTTTATAAAATCAAGTTTTTTCAAAAGTTTTTTTAAATAAATGTCTATCTAGGTATGTAGGTATGCTAGTGAATGGTGAACTAGAAATTGTCATAACTATTTGTAGTTTTAATTCAATGTAAGTCAAATAAAATTCTTTAAAATCAACAATAAACAAATTATATCCGTTCACAAATGAAAAAAAAAAACAAAATAGAAACACAGTAAATTTTGATTTATCTACTGTGATAGAAACTTTAAGAGTCAACATTAGTCGGTGATTTTAGTTTTAATCAAATTTGAACCGAATGATTCGGCCGAATATTCGGTTCGGTACATTTTGAACCGGATATTCGGCCGAACATTCGTATTCGGTTCAATCTACATTCGGTGCATCTCTAGTAATAAATGACTGGAATGGACACTTGCATAATGTTCTAACTTTGCAGTTAAGTTAGTCTCAAAACAATATTTTTCAACAATGTGTCATCCACTTAAACCTTAAAATTGTTTGATGACGTCACGCGACTTCGTCACGTAGTGTCCAACTGAGATTGAAACGTGTCGCTGCACACCGAGGCATCATAAGTCGGCAGAGTTAAAAGTAAAACGACCGAGCGCTCGATACCTACATAGTTAAGTTAGCCGTATGTCATTCCGGCCCGGGACACCCGTCTCGATTGATGCGCACCTGGTAGCCGCGCGACGCAACAAATTCAAGAATCTACTTGCCAAGTCGCGCGCGGATTGGCAACAATGTAACTCTAGTGACGTGACCACTAACGTGACCAGCGTAATTTGTAATGTGACACAAAATGTAGATAGATTTTTGGGATTACAGAGATTGACTTTATTTTAATCTCGTAATCTGTCAGCAGCAGTGATAAGAAATGACCTAAAGCACTTGCTTAATTCGAATTGGGCTGGAACTCCAAAAAATAAGAATAACATTTTTCTAATCATCATCATCATCATTTCAGGACGTCCACTGAACATAGGTCTCGTCGTTGGATTGGAATTGGAATATTTTTCTAATATTTGTTGGATTTAGCTACAATGCTTAGTTATGCATGTATTTTTTTTAAGTAGGATCATGCACTAATTGGCATTTAGTTCTTGTTTTTTTATTAAACATTTTAAGTATTTACTTAACAAGCCGTTACTGTGTCGCTAAAAGGAATGGTTCATAGAATGGTCCCAGGTTTTCACGCAATGATGATCGTTAGTTCTTGTCTGCCAGTCCAAGTAATCCTGCGCAGAAAACCGTGATTTGCTGTAAGAAGTGTGTGACTACAATTCACGATATTCGTGCTAGTTGTATGAAGTACAATAGGAATCATAGTTGACATAGCATAATATGCATTGTATTGTGACTAGGTACATATACGGTCAAAGTGATAAATGTGAAAATTATGAATAATCACCGGTTATTATGAATAATTACCGCATGATTTGGTAAATGTGATTAAGGCCACCCC